CCAGGACAACAAAACGAAATTCCTCACAACACAGGAACTGCTTGATGCTTTGTCTCTCTTTTTGAACCCAGAAAATAGGGATCAAGAGTTGATTTGCTTACGAAATAATTTAGTTGAAAAAATTACAGATTTCTGTTTATTATTAAATATTAAATTTTATTAAAATCGGATAACTCTATCATATAGCTGCCATAGGAAAGATCGAAAAATATATACATATAGAAATAACGGAAATAAAATTAAATCATCGTTGTTTTTCATCAGATAAACATGATCTTTGGAATATAGAGTTTTCTAACTACTCTTGAATAACATATTAAATTTCATCAAAATCGGACAACTGACATACGAACAATAGTCGAAAATATGGAAAATTAATAGAAAAATCGTCATAGTTTCGATGCTGTTTAGCCCTTATGCATTTTGATCGACATATGATCGACTCCAAGGGTATATAAGCTTCGGCTTGCCGAAACTAGCTTCTTTTCTTGTTTAATTTAATTTAGGCATTCGATTTTTCTTTTCTTTTATCACAGGTGCTTTGAACTTCTCCTCATAAGTCCTTTGTGCTTTGGCTATACCGACGAAGAACGGGAAGCCTATAGATTTAAAGTTGTATAAATCATGCGCACTTCAAAGGACGACGAAACCAAAATCAATAGGACCCAGGAATTGCTGGATATTTATCAGAGTTGCCACGAAAGTGATCTCGCCGAGTACCGAATACCGAATGTTCGGCAATGCTGTCAGCCGAACAGTACTACATACTACAGTGTTGCCAGTTAAGCTTATTCTAAGAGATTTCTATCATATTTAAAACTAGAAAAGCTGCTAGCTTATTTGAAGTTTCGAAATTTGCTAAAATATATCCCTTTTCTGCTAGGAGAAGCGTATATAGTGAAAGGTTGTTTTCTGAAGCTGGTATTGTTTACGACGAAAAGCATAATCGTTTACTACCGTCAATGCTGAAAAACTTGTGTTTGTCCATCACAACTTACCGCTGATGAATTTTACTTATTAAAATATTGTAATTTGATAAAAGTGATGTGTTTTTTTCTATGATTTGGTACTATTCGGCATTCGGCGACTAAAGCTGCAAAAGAACTGGGTGGTATCCTTGTCAAAAAATTCAATGAATGGTTTGGTTAAACAATCTTTTGTATTGTTCCAATTTTATAATTTTCGGAGCTTTTACAATGTTAATTCGCACGGATAATTGTGTAATTGGTTTTTATTAAAAAAAATTATTTAAAATCTTTACTGTTCTATATTTTGACTTTTTGAAAATACCTAAAACAAAAATTAAATTATATTATCATTTTATTATTATATAGTCCAAAAATACCTTTTGAATCAATTTTTCTTTTTAAGAGGTTATATCTTTTGAGGTGCGGCAAAACTTCCAGTTTATGTAGAGTCACTTAGCCATATTTTTATTTAAAAAACAAAAACAATTACGAACAATTAAACAAACAATTTTAATCGGTTAAAAACTATTTCGAAAATCCAAGTCACCGCGACTACGATTTCCAATTTCGAAATAATCGCGTATAAAGTTCAAGTTAATTTTTTCAAGTGTAACAAGCAAGATGCAAAACCCAATAAGTATCTTCTAAGATAACAATCTATAAATTCTTTACTTTAAGAAAATAATAAAAAATTGTATAATTTTTTAATTACTTTATCATAGTATTAACATAGTTCAAGAAGTAACACCCTAAATGCACAAATATTTCTTCTAGGAAGTGTTTTACAATTTTGTCGGTTTTGCAGTTTTTATTTTTTTTATTTTAAATTTTTTATACAACACGATTTAAGACGAATGCTTTGTAATTGAACCTTCGCTTTTCACTTTTCTATTAACAGGAAAATATAATGATTTAATTTTGATTATATATATATATATATATATATATATATGCAGTAGAATCCTGTTAAAACGACTCCGCTTATAGTGTCCGTCCGGGTATTGCGACGAAAACTCGATGGCTTGATTGGTCCCCAGACAGACTTATATCCTTTTGCTTAGTGCGTCTTCCGGGTATAACGACGAAAACTCGTCGGTCCCTTGAAAGTCGCTATAAGCGGATTCTACTGTATATTAATAAAAGTGTTAGCTCATTGGCGCTTTGATTGATAAGGAATACATGTTTACATATGGCATAATGAACTCTCAATGTACTATAGCTTAGTTCAGCATTATCAATTGTGAGAACTTGCTTGGTCAGGGAAATTGAAAATTGGTTGGTCAAGGTTTTCAAATAATTAGCACTTTCTCGGAAATGTCCCACACCAAGCCTTCTAATGTAAAACTAAAAGGGCTTACGTTTGCACCTCCGGCTGGGGTATAAATTATGGTTCGCAAAAGCAGATCTATCAGTTCAGTTTTCTCCAGCATTCCAACAAGTTCTAGAAAAATGAAATCCTCAATTTCTCTGATGTAAGTAGAACTTTGCTTTTAATTTAATTTAGACATTTACTTTATGTTTCTTTTACACAGGTGCTTTGCACTCCTCCTCATAAGTCCTTTGTGTTTTGGCTACTCTGACGAAGAACGAGAAGCCGATAGACTTAAAGTGGCAGAGATCATGACCACTTCCCTGGACGATGAAACCAAAATCAACAGGACCCAGGAGTTGCTGGATATTTATTACCGCTTGGCTCCCAGCTTGCCGTCTGAAGAAAGGGAGAAAATCGATGTTTTTGTTAATGCGAACACCGACGCTATATTAATCGACGGAGTTCCGAGTCAAGGCGGACGGAAGTCCAAGATCGCTTCAAAAATCGCGACTAAAGCTGCAAAGGATGCGGCTACTGGATTCTTTGAAGAATTGGGTAGTACCCTAGCCCGAAAACTCAATGAATGGTTTGGTTAAACACCCTTTTACCTTTCAATGTTATAATTTTGGGAGCTTTTACAATGTTGATTCCCACGAATAATTGTGTGAAAAATGTTTGGTTTTTATTAAAAAAAAACTAATCAAAACTTAAACTATTCTATGTTTTGACTTTTTGATAACCTGTGAAGAAATACCCAAAAAACCAAAAAACCCCTTACGAAAATTTTATTTGTAGTTTATTATCTCTCAAGTGGATGTGGTATTAATTGACAATGAAAAGTAATAAGTTCAACTAAACTAAAAACTATTTTGGTGTTAAAGGTATAGTGAATAAAATTATTATCGATTTTCGGCATTAATTTGGTCAGAAAAACTTCTTTAAAATTCGGCTAGGGACTCGAAACCCAGGGCAATCTTTAAAAACTTATATAGTACGAATACAAGGTGTTTACTTCTAAGAATATTTATACCCTTGCAGAGCAAAGGGTATTATAATTTTGGCCAAAAGTTTGCAACGCAGTGAAGGAGACATCTCAGACCCCATAAAGTATATATATTCTTAATCGGCATCACGATCTAAATCGAAATACGTCTGTACGCCTGTCCGTCTGTCCGCCTGTTCTTCTGTCTGTTTCTACGCAAACTAGTCTCTAAGGTTTAAAGCTATATTGGTGAAACTTTCCCAAAAGGTGTGTAGTTATTGCACGCAGTTTATAAGTCGGAAGGGGCCGGATCGGCCGACTATATCGGATAGCTCCCATACGAGAGAATGAAATAAAAAATTTTCTGTCCGTTATTTTAAATCAGATCGAGTTGATTTCTTTCATATGGCGTTTTCTAACCACTATTGAATTTCGGATTAAATTTTATCAAAATCGGACAATTATATCATAAAGGTGCCATACGAACATTAGTCGAAAATATGGAAAATTAATAGAAAAATCATCAAGGCCTCAATGTATTTTGTTCAACATATTTGATGACTGCAAGGGTATATACGCTTCGGCTTGCCGAAGCTAGCTTCTTTTCTTGTTTTGAAATGTCGTCAGTATTAAAATTCGCGTTTTTCCCTGGGTTACTAGTTCTCTTCTCAAGAAGTATTTGGCATCGACATAAGCCCAAAGTAACTCTTTAATCAATATTTATTTTTAAGCGGTTATATATGTTGAGGTGCGGGAGAACGGGGAAAATTTTCAGTTTTTGTAGAGTCACTAAGCCATATTTTTGTTGAAAAAATTGTTATTTGTAAAATCAGCTTAAGAACTTAAAAAAATACTTGTAATTTTCAAAGTTATGACATTTCCCGCAAAACGAGTTTTTTTAAAAAGTCTTGCCTTGACTACGATTTCATTTCATAAGCTCAACTGAAAGCTAAACAAATTTTGTTAGTTTAAGGACTTTTGGTGTCATTGAACGATTCATTGAAATGAGAAAAAATAGTTTCTCAATCGGGACCTGATTGAATTGCTTTGAAATATGCATAACATAAGTATGAAAAGGCTTAAACGCAAATAAATTACGAACAATTAAAAAACAATTTAAATCGGTTAAAAACTATTTCGAAAATCCAAGTCACCGCGACGTCGTTTTTAATTTCGAAATAATCGCGTATAAAACCTTAAATTCATTTTTCCTAGTGTACTACTTAAAGATTAAAAATAGAACATAGTTCAAGTAGTAATAAATGCACAAACATTTATTCTAGGAAGTGATTCGTAGTTTTTATTATTTTTATATTATTTTTTTTTTCTGTTTAAATCTTTTCATACAACACCTTTAACGAAGTACGCTTTATATTTGAACTTTCGTTTGTTACTTTTGTATTAACAGGAAAATATTAAGGTTAAATATCAATTATTTATATAAATTAATGAAAGTGTTAACTCATCAGCGCATGATTGATAAGGAACACATATTGACATATGGTATAATGTACACATTTCTGCTGAACTCTCAATGTACTATAGCTTAGTTCAGCATTATCAATTCTTATTAAAGATTTTTCTCAGAAATGATAAGATTGTTATATATGTGAGAACTTGCTTGGTCAGGGAAATTGAAAATTAAGGAGGAGGTTGGTCAAGGTTTTCAAATAATTAGCACTTTCTCAAAAATGTGCCACACCAAGCCTTCTAATGTAAAACTAAAAGGGCTTACGTTTGCACCTCCGGCTGGGGTATAAATTATGGTTCGCAAAAGCAGATCTATCAGTTCAGTTTTCTCCAGCATTCCAACAAGTTCTAGAAACATGAAATCCTCAATTTCTCTGATGTAAGTAGAACTTTGCTTTTAAATTAATTTAGACATTTACTTTATGTTTCTTTTACACAGGTGCTTTGCACTCCTCCTCATAAGTCCTTTGTGTTTTGGCTACTCTGACGAAGAACGAGAAGCCGATAGACTTAAAGTGGCAGAGATCATGACCACTTCCCTGGACGATGAAACCAAAATCAATAGGACCCAGGAATTGCTGGATATTTATTACCGCTTGGCTCCCAGCTTGCCGTCTGAAGAAAGGGAGAAAATCGATGTTTTTGTTAATGCGAACACCGACGCTATATTAATCGACGGAGTTCCGAGTCAAGGCGGACGGAAGTCCAAGATCGCTTCAAAAATCGCGACTAAAGCTGCAAAGGATGCGGCTACTGGATTCTTTGAAGAATTGGGTAGTACCCTAGCCAGAAAATTCAATGAATGGTTTGGTTAGACAATCCCTAAAACTTGATTCAAACTTTAAAATTTTTGGAAGCTTTTGCAATGTTGATTCCCATAACTGTGTAAAAATTGTTTAATTTTTTTAAAATAAAATTTTTTACTTCTATGTTCTGACTTTTTGATAACCTGTAACAAAATTCCCAAAAACCAGAAAATCCCTATACGAACGGAAAAAAGTTTTTTGTATTTCATTATCTCTTAAGTGGATGTGGTATTAATCACATTTAATACTGAAAATTCAACAAGTTCCCCGAATTTAATAACTTTTCTTTGATTATTTGTTATATATTCGGGCTATCGGAAAAAACTACGTATACGAATATATATTTTAGATAAAACAAGAAAAATTATTCGGTTTTTTAACCTATTTCAACTTATTTAATCCTTCAAATTATTTTATATTACCTTACGGTCTTACAGATGTTATTATTTCATTATTTGTTTTTGTTTTAATTTTTTTCAAACTAATTGAACTTTTAATTGTCATTTTTGTAATAACAGGAAATTATGCTGATTAAAGATCGGTGATTTATATATATTTTATTGAAATATAAACTTCTCGAAGCTTTGATTGATAAGGTTTACATGATTGCATAAAATGTATACTTAGGCATTAGTTTTCACCTCTGGTGAACATTTCTCGATTTTCCTATCGTAAGTAGAACCTTCCTTTTAATTTCTTTTCCATTAAATATTTTTTTCTTTTACGCAGGTGCTTTGCCCTTCTTTGTTTTTGTTTTAATCTTTTCAAACTAATTGAACTTTTACTTATAAATTTTGAATTAACAGGAAATTATACTGATTAAAGATCGGTGATTTATATATACATACGAGGTGTGTTCAAAAAGAATCGCGAATTTTGAATTTTCGCGGGTTACCTCGTATCGAATTTCGATTTTATTGTGGCGTTATGTTGGTACTCATGTCTCTCACTTATGCTGACAAGCTCGGCCATTTTGAATGTTCACTTAATTGTTGACAGCTGCTTTGCTTGCACGTGTTTTGGACCGTCTTCGATTTTTACCTATTCAAAAAATTGGATCAAAGAACCTATATCAAATTTTGTGTAAAAAACGAAATTAAGTGCGTGGATGCATTCCGAATGTTGACTGTAGCATACGGAGAAGCTACCTTGGACCAAAGCAACGTTTATCGGTGGTACAAAATGTTCTCAGAAGGCCGAGAAGATGTGAACGACGAAGAGCGTACCGGACGCCAAGTTCGGTCGAATGTGAAAGTTTTCCTGACAGTTTTCTTCGATTGCAGGGGCGTGGTGCATCATAAGTTCTTGCCACAGGGAAGAACGGTCAATAAGGATTATTACCTGCAAGTTATGCTCAATTTGAGCGAAGTAATCCGCCAGAATTGCCCAGATTTGTGGAAGAACAAAAATTGGCTTTTGCACCACGATAACGCCAAAAACAACACACTAATGATGCCGCTCTGAACAAGATAAAAAAAAATGATTTTTTGTAGTGCTTCGAAGATTGGAAAAACCGTTGGCACAAGTGCATAATATCTCATGGGGATTACTTTGAAGGGGACAAAATAGATATTCATGAATAAATAAATAATTTTTGAAAAAACACAAAATTCGCGATACTTTTTGAACACACCTCGTATTTTATTGAAATATAAACTCATCGGAGCTTTGATTGATAAGGTTTACATGATTGCATAAAATGTACACTTTAGGCATTAGTTTTTACCTCTGGCTAGGGTATAAATAAAGGTTCTCAAACGCAGATCTATCAGTTTAGTTTCTTTCAGCGTTCCATCATTTCCTAGCAAAATGAAAACCTCAATTTTCCTATCGTAAGTATAACTTTCCTTTTAATTTGTTTTCCATTAAATATATTTTTCTTTTACACAGGTGCTTTGCACTTCTGCTCATAAGTGATTTGTGCCTTGGCTACCCTATAGAAGAACGAGAGGCTGATAGACCTAAAGTGGAAGAGAAAATTCAGAGTACCCAGGACAACGGACGGAAAATTCTCACAACCCTGGAGGAACAGGTTGACGCTCTTTCTTCCTTTTTGAGCTCAAATAATAGGGATCAAGGGTTGATTTGCTTACGAAATACTTTGGCTAAACAAGAAGTCCAGTTTCTGCCCAAATGTTTTAATCTTTAAGTTAATTGATATTCAAATAATGTTTTCATCCTGTTCTGCAATTTTCCTTTCTTATTAATTGTCGTTAAAAGCGAAAAGTCTTCATAGGAAGTTAACAGTTTTAGAGGTTTCAATTATTATTTACTTCCTTGTCTTTCTTCTTTGTTTATATGTATAAATTTCCAATTTTTTATTTCCCAACTTTAAGGAGGCTTCTCCTACTTTATTACAGAGACGAAACTTTAAACTTCGAGTTTAGTAAGCACACCAAGCTGTGCATGCATTTGTAATTAGAAATAAAAGCAGACATGTTCATATCCATAAAATGCATATTCATATCTGGTGCTAAGCATATTTCCCCTGCGTGGCATGTTGTGTGGCATTAAAAATCCAAAAAATATCCACTCAAATAGTAAGAATAAAGTGCTCACTTAAAATTTGTTAAGGAAAGGAATCCCGGCAACTTTGTTCACTCAATCTGGCCAACAAAGTTTGTGCCGAATTCAATCAACACTCGGCCAACTGGACTGCAGGAGAATGTTTTTTGGGAAAGTTTTCGCAATTATTATTTCTGTGTAAAATGCCTTTTTCGGTGTGTTGTAGAAAAACTCGTTTTCGCCTGGCGAAAGTTTTTGATTGTCTGGCCGAAACAAGGCATGTGGAAAGTAATTACCATGCAAGTGTCGAAAGCGTCTGACAGGGTCCTTCAGCGGAGTGTTGGTTTCCCAGGCTGCCACAGGACATCCGGCTGGGCGGGCAGTAGTGTGTGCTCGCCTCATCAACGCCATCAGCTGTGCCATTTGACTTGTGAATGTGTCGTAAAGTTGATCCTCCCCCGGCCAAATCCCCCCCTCCTGTTTGCTGAACTTGTCAACGCTGCTGCTGGCAATTTGTTTAATTAAATGCTCGCCCAAGAAGCAACGCACACAGACCAACGTAAACACTCACAGGATCCGGGGCTTGCAGCTGATAATTTAATTGAATAACAACAGCTCAACGCATCGGATATAACACCTGCTTATAAAAATATCCAGAGAAGTCTTCTCTCTTTCTAAATTGTATACTTTAAAGCTATCAATATTAAAACAACCATGATTTGGAGTAAGCTTGTTCTGAGGAATAGTTAGTTTAAACCTCCTTTTCTTGATTATATTTTCCTGTGATTTAAAATTGAAAAGCCATAAGTAAAAAGAAGTAAATTTCTTTTTTATTATAGCAAAGTTATTTTATACCTAATTTCTGAAAAAGTGTAGGGTAAGATGGGGTAAAACCGCCGGTGGGTAAAACCGCCTTTTGGATGTCAAATTCAAATGAAGCGCCGAAACGATTAACCGTTGATAATGTAGATTCTGATTGATAATGCGCGGTTTTTGAAGTCGGTCGGAATACTGCAGCTTTATCGTGACAATTTCTATAGCGCCATTTTTGTTTCACTCGACGGCGCCAAAAAATGTTTGTTATAAAGATTGCTCAATCAAGTGTAAGTGAACGGCTTAAAAAAAAGAGGTAAGTGTCCGCTTATAGTACGAACCTTGATACTGATGTACATGTATCAAGTTAGTCAATATTTCCAAAATTGTACAAACTAAGTGACCTCGAAAAAAAATTGGCGCGTGGGGTAAAAACGCCGCGAAAAGGTGGGGTAAAAACGCCACACAATTTGATAACGGAAAAACTCGTTTTAATCGAGAATGAATGTCTTTCAGCATTATGCCTCGCAATTACGCAAGAAAAAAATCAAAAATTGATGAAAATATATTTCAACGGGCAATCGAGGAAGTTCAGGAGGGCAGCAAGGTGGCAGTTGTTGCCGAAAAATATGGGATTCCCCGAGAGACTTTGCGAGACCGAGTCAACAAAGCGCACAACGCTTATTATGGCCATCATCCCCAGGTAAAGTGTCAAATATTCACAATTTTTGTCAATTGAAACAATATGTAATGTCATGATTTTGAATTCAATTCAATTTAAAAATAACAGCCTTTCTTTTTGAACAGATAATTGCAAACAGTTTTGTATAAAATGATTTTATCTTTTAAATAAGAATATTTTTATTTTCAATTTCAAACCTTTGTTAATGCGACATTTCTTCTTAGTTTAAAACTATTTTAACCACGTAATTCTTATTTTACAGATTTTTACTGACGACCAAGAGGCATCGCTTGAGAAATATCTCATAAAAGCATCAGCTATATTTCATGGTTTCTCTCGGACAGCAGTTCGACGACTTGCTTATGACTTCGCTTCAATTTCTTATTTTTACTTTTATATAATATATTCTTTGTAACATGTAATATCCATTTGAATTGAATAAAAATTTTTCTCAGAAGTTATTGACATTATTTGGGTACTTAACTACACTAAAACCAGAATGGCGTTTTTACCCCACTAGGTGGGGTAAAACCGCCGTTTTAAACTTTTCTTCTGAACGATCACAATTCTTTTAAAATAAAAGCTACATAAAAACTTTCTAAATGAATTATGTAGCCAAGGGATTAAACTTTCAGAAATATGATTTGGATCATTGATCATTTTATAAATGAAAGCTTGACATCGTCAAATATACATTTTTGGCGGTTTTACCCCATCTTACCCTATATTTTCTGTTTTGGTGAACTATAAAATAAACATTTTGGGTTTAACAATTTATAGAGTCTCCACTATTTTCCTACTGACCACTTCGCACACTTTTCGGCGAGCCAACCAAGTGGGTCGCAAGGATTTGAGGATAGAACATGCAAATAGAGTCCAAAGGACAACGAAAACAAAAGGAAAGTTGCCGGGCAACTTTAACCCCCTGCATCGCTTTTTTTCCTGCCATGGAAGGCTTAGTATCCAAGACCTTAACACCAGCAGACAGAACTTCCTAATTATGTTTGTGTGGAATTCAGCCCGAGGCAGGGAAAAGCAAAGCTGTCCTGTTGCATGGAGGGTCCTTCTTTTTCCTTCCTTTTGCTAAGCCGTTGCTTACAAGGGCTCTTGGTTCCTATCCTCGTGTTGTGTGTTGTGTAGGCTCTTACATTATCGCCTATATCGTCCTGATTATCATGTGACAATGTGGCACACAAAATAAAATCAGCATTTTGGCCTTGTCAAGTGTTTGCCGCTGCGAAAAGCCACACAAGCCGAGCTGAACCGAGTCGATCTGAACTGAGTTGAATTGAAATGAAATATCCTGCGGGCGCACAGGCTGCTCCGTTGTCGACTGCCAAAACAGGATACGCATCCTGCAGGCTAGGATTTGCCCTCCCCGCATTTTCCTGCTCGATAGAACGACCCTCAACTATTTACATGGCCAAAAACATGTTCCTCACTGTCAGCAAGCCAAGAGCATTGGCGAAACTTCTGGCTCGGCTTCTGGCTTTAAAGGCTTGGCTGGAAAAGTGTTCTCAGCTGTCTTGGCTGCAAGGAAATTGAAAGAAATAACGACACTTTATAGTTTCTGGCTGAATGCCATTTGGTGGGGTAGAATGGACTCAAGGAAATACAGCTTGACCCACTTTAATTGCAAAATAAACAAGGAATGAAAAAAGAAGAACTTTTAAAGTGGGTAATAAGCTTCAGTCTTTCTTTCTTTAAGAACTGAAGTTGCAAATAATAAAAATTCTATTAAGATAAACTATGTCATTCAAGAATTTCAATTTTTGCCCATTGCTGTTTTCGATAGCCTATCCCATTGAACTCCTTGTTTTCAAGGTCTTGCTTATTTTTCTATTCAGGAAGGCTCATTCCATTATGCTAAATATATGTGCGGATAAACTTTGCGGGGGGTTTTCTATACAGCAACCTAAGCACCAAAAACAGTTTCCCCCAACCGCCGAAAAACAGTTTTGGGAAATTCAATTTCGTTTGTTTATGAGCAGAAGTCTAATTCAAATGCAAAGATAAGGCACAACGCTGGTGCCACAATAGATAGATACTCGTACTTCAGCACGTTTCCTTCCTTCCTCTCCTCAATCGAGCTATCTTTTGCTGCCTTCGAGTGGTTTTCCTTGCCACACGCATATGCTGATAAAGTTTTAGCACCTGTTCGGGGAAAAATCGTGGAGGACGGAAAGCCGAAAAGAAAAGTTTGCCATTTACAGCCCATCAAGTCGGCTTCAATTTCGCCTACCTTTTGTTTGGCCTACACACCTTCTATTTAACCCCCTACTCTGTTTTCCAACTCTATTTTCCCCCTCTAATTTCCCCCTCTATTTTCCAGTGTAGATGATGGGCTTTGTATGTGAGAGTTGGCCGGGCTCTTTGTTTGTCACTTTCGGCAAAAGTTTATGCGCTTTTTACAACGTGTATCCTTTTTGCATGTCGACTTACTGTTTTGGCTTTGCCTTTCACCATTTTATTGCACCAACAAAAGGCTCCTTAAGCACGTGTAAAGCGAACTAACACATGCAAAGTCAGCGGGGCGCAACAGTGCGGTTGGAAAACTTTGATCTTCCTGGCAGGAGACTTAATTTAATGTCCTTCGCGTAGGCTGCCAACTCTGCCTGCCGCTGACTTTTTGCCGGGCTCCTGTTTTGTTTAAGTTTTGTGTCGTGACACAAACACTGAATTTCAATTACCGACAGCGAAGGTCCTTGGCAAAGCACCAAGCTTACACAGGAATTAATATATTAGATGAGTTTAGTTAGAATTAAGTTTTGGTGAAAAGAACTACATAATTATTTGGATTTCACATTTAAGCCGGTAGCTCATATAATGTTAAATGAATTTCCATTTAAATTTAATTTACAATGTTTTTATTAGGTTTGCTATAAATTAATAAGAACCCTTATCAATTTTATGGAAAATTGTTAGGCCAATGTACTTTAAAGACCTTGACTTTTTCGTGATCCGTATGAATAACAATAATATTACATTATCAGTATTTTTTGCAGATTGAATTCTAAGAACGCAAGTATTATCGCTTGGTCTTACATGACTTCCTCATGCATTTTTTTCCAGAGTTGCCTATAAAAGCATTGCCCTTCGAATGAAAACAGCATCAGTTCACCAGAGCTTCTTAAGTTAACTCAAGATGTATTTCGCCACCCGTCTAAGGTAAATCTGAAAAGTGATATATTTAAACTGCAAATCAATAACTCAGTAAACATTTTAGCTTCGTCCTGGCTCTGCTGTTTTGCCTCAATGGCAACGGAGATGCTTCTGTACAGCAGGATCGCTCCAGACTCCAGCAAATCCAGATCCAAAGTCGCCGCACGACTGATGTCGACACCCAGGTGCAACTGGCCTACGAAGCCATTGGAATCTTCGACAAATACAAAGGACAGAGGGCATCGGATCTTACCAAGGAGGCTCAGTTGAACCGACAAGTCAATGACTACAAGAGAAAGATCGTGATTATAGATGGAGTTCCAGCTCAAGGAGGCGCTTGGGACATCCTGGGAATATTCAAGTCCGCCTCGGAAAAAGTTCCCGATAATATCAAGAAGGATGCCGAGAACCTACTAGTTAATTCTTCCAAGGCTTTGGTGGAAGGCGTTGTAAGCTATGTTGGGAACTGGCTTCTGAACGCCATCAAGCGTGGATAGTGAAAGTGAAGGTGGACTAATTCAAGGGGAGATTTATAGTAAATTTGAGGTTTTATTTTCCTTTCACTAAAAAGAAATTAAAGAAGCTCTGAATTAAAGAACCCATGTAAAAATAAATTAAAGAACCCTTGAAAAAATTGTTATTTAATTTTATCGAATAAATGGAATTCGCATTGAATTTGTAACAATGAAATAAAGTGTTGTTGTCGCCCATAAGCAAGAGTAATCAAAAAACCACAGATTTTGAAGAGCTATGGCCTGGAAAACCCTGCTTGAAATTTTTGGGAATTGTGAGAAACCCACTTATATTAATATATATTTTTGAACTATATATATATACTTAAAAGACCTTGATCCGTATAATAAAGAAGAGATTTTATCAGCTTAAATTGACTATCACTAACACAAGCTTATCATCATTGTGAATTCCATTTCAGAGCTGCCTATAAAAGCGATGCGCTTTAACGCAATCGGCATCATTTCTCAAGAGCTTCTTAAGTAAACTAAAGATGTATTTTGTCATTCGACTAAGGTAGAGAAAGTTATAACCTTTATCCGCAATATAATAATGTACTCTATTAACTTCTAGCTTCGTCCTGGCTGTGTTGCTTTGTATCACTGGCAATGGAGAGGCCTCAGTTCTGCGGGATAGCTCCAGACTCCAGGAAATTCAGCGCGAAAGTAGCCTTACTGATGATGTGGACACCCAAGTGAAACTGGCCAACGAAGCCATTGAAATCTTCAATAAGTACAAGGGGCAGGGAGCATCTGATATCGCCCAGGAGGCTCAGTTAACCAAACAAGTCAATGACTACAAGGATAAGGCCATCCTCATAGATGATGTTCCGCCCCAAGGAGGTCTTTGGGATGAGGTCCACCAAGATGCCAAAAACCTATTAGTTAGTTCTTCGAAGGCACTGGTGGAGGAAGTCAGAAGTTTTCTTGTGAATCAGATTCTGAGCGCGCTCCCGTTTGGCCACTGAAATTAAAAGTGCACTAATTGAGGGAGTCGCTTTATTGTAAAAACACTAAAAAATGACCTAAGAAAATAAAACACCATTGAAAAAAGTTTTAATCAAGTATTATTGCTTTGGTGCACAACTGTTTCTGGGCGTAAAGATTTGATACCCTGAAGAGGGTATTTTAATATAATTTGAACAACTAAAAATAAACTTTCTGTTTCAAAAAGTACTAATAAAAATAATCATTCATCCAGTCGATGTAGTCATGTTCGTCTATCCGCAAAGTAGCCTCAGTTTTAAAGCTATTATCATTCAAATCCACCGCTTAATTAAAAGAGTTGCCATAAGAAAAATTGGAACCATTAATGAATAATCATAATAACATCGTTGTTGTTGAGCGTGTATGCATTTAGCTATATAATAATTTAAAACGATCTAAACTATACAAAGCTTTACATTTTAATTTTTATTACTATTTTAAAAAAACCGGTATAGATATTCGTAGATTGAATTCGGTTAATGGAAAAAAACAAACTTCCTGATTTTACTCCTTGTTCATAAATAGCTGGCCTTCACCACTTTGTTAGTTTTTCGCATTTATGCGCCATTTTTTTGGCTTGAGGCTTTCCAGAGACCGGCGAAAACTTGGTCCAAAATTTATGAGCTCTGTGGTGGCCAAGTGTCCTTGCGGGACTTCACACACAAAAACAGAGACCTCTTTGCACTTTATTTTCATTCAGAGCCTATCGCACGAGCTTATTTGATTTTGTCCTCCTCCCGTTTTTTCCCCTTCGAAGTTTTTTCCGTTGTCGCCCGCCACTCGTAAATATCGAAAAAGGCAGGGGAACTTGTTTGCTTCTGGCCAACCCCGGGGCTCTTGGCCACATCTACCCATTCCCTGGTTGTAGGCCCAAATATTAGTGCAATTTCCACGTTGACCAAAAGTTCAATTCATTTTGCACAGGGACGTGTCGCTGCTCCTCAACAGTTTTCATAAGAATTTATTGCTTTCTCTTGGCAACTAAGTGGATCAGATTTCTTTTGGCAGCTTTGCCCTGTGTCCTGAGTCCTGTGTCCTGTGTAATATGCCACAGATTTAGTGTTGGCAAAATTACTTTTGCCTTTTGTTCGCCTCAATTCCAGGACCCTCTAGCTTCCCACTTCTGTTTTTTTTACAATTTTGTCGTATCAGATTGAAAATTGAGTTGGGTATTTCGGGGCTAAAAGTCGGAAAGAAGCAAGCGGCAGTCGACCGCAGACTGACAGTAGGGAAAGTTCTTAGGTGAGATTTTCCACACCCCCAGCGGTTTGTTTTTCAATGACCAAAAAATGCGAGTCCTTAAAGCGAAGTTACTTCTCCTTCAACTTTGATTTTTCTGGTTTGGTTTGATTTCTTACACAGAGCAATTCTTGGTAATTCAATTCATTTATTTATTCCTTCTGAACTTTCATTTAAAGGTATTTACATAAATTTCTTTTTAAAATGTAGTATTTTTTATTACGTTAGTAAGGATCACTTCTTGTGGGAATGGCAGTGACCGCATCCTTAGTTCTAGGGATGCAGCAAAACTACTAGTCGAACTTCCCCTGAGCTCACACCCCAGGGACGAAATGACAGTAGAATTCATCTTTGAAAAGAATTTCTCTGCTCATCTGAGCAACAAGAAAGATTGGACCACCATGAAGGAAGTACACTCCATGGCGAGTCACACTATAGCATGGTATACGGACGGGTCTTTAACACACCAAGGCACTGGCCTTGGAGTAGTAGGACCACGAATTAAATACCATGAATCGTTAGGCCAATACACCAGCATATTCCAAGCTGAAGTTTGCGCCATAGGACGGTGTGCAGAGCTCAATATGAAGCGTGGGTACACAAACAAGGACATTGCGATCCTCTCGGACAGTCGAGCGGCAATTACTGCACTATGCAGCAATAGAATCACTTCGAAGCTGGTACGAGAAGTAAGGACAAAGCTGAACCTTCTGGGCAGCAACAACAGGCTGTCATTAAGATGGATTCCAGGACACAAAGACATATCCGGGAATGAACTAGCCGACAGGCTAGCAAAACTAGGGGCGGAAAGACCCCTTATAGGACCCGAGCCTTACTGTGGCATAGGCAGACACACAGTCAAAGATTACCTAAGAACAGAAGAGGTACATATGAGGCAAGCCTGCTGGGTAGACACCACAGGCCAAAGACAAGCCAAAACCCTCATCGTCAATTATGACATGAAGAGGTTTAAGAAACTTATACTACTAGGGAAGAGATCACTTAGGATAGTTACCGGCTTACTAACCGGACACTGTAAACTAAGGAGACACCTATTTAATATAGGGATTACAAACAGGAAAACATGCAGATTCTGTGATAACGAGGACGAAACCTCAATACACATAATATCAGATTGTCCAGCACTAAGTAGCCTGAGGAGCAGAACCCTCGGGTCCAGGTTCCTTACACTTGGGACCTCTGGAAGCATCGACCCGATAAAGCTCCTTAACCTTATCGAAGGAGCCGGGTTGATGGGTGAGCTCTAAGCTCAGATAGGGGGTACAATAGATCCAGTTGGGTCGAGGTAACCTTTTCCCCCCTAATAATAATAAGGATTGTTGTTTACTTTTAATAATATCTCTGTTTACTCTTGAAAGTGTTCTCAAAGCGAAAAGACTTTCCCAGAACTTCAATTTATTTTTATTTATGTTGGTTACTTTCATAGACCACTTCTTGCAATTCAATTAATTTGGTTATTCCTCCTGAACTTTAGTTTATAAACGTAAACATCCAAAATTTATTTTTTGTGGTATTTTTATTTATGTATGTAGTATTTTTTTTTTAATTTAGCAAGGATTATTATTTACTTTCAATAAGATCTCTGTACACACTTGAAATGTGTAGGAGAATATAAAAAGTCAACTAACCATGTTTCCCTCAACTTAACCCGCCTTAAATTATTAAATTATTCATAAGTTTGTGAATTATGTGCATTAACCTTCAATTTCCTTTCCATTGGATTGCTGTCCAAAATGTTTGGCCCTTAAACCCTCTTTGCTCCTCCTGGTGAAAAGTTCACCACTCAAAATGCTCGGACAGAGTTTTGAAATGCGATTTGCGGCTTGCATTGTCTGTATCCTTGTGACGTAAGAGAAATTTATTTCATTTATGCATGGCTTGTTTGAGGTTGAGTGGGTGCAATTTGGTGGCTTTTCGGCTTTTCCACAGTGCGTGCAATGCCGAATGGGAATGTATACCAGCGTTTTGGCTTTGTGTGTGTATCTGGAGAGAATGTGTGTGCGTTGCGAGTGTTGTCCCAAAAGTATGTATTGATTTTCAGCCTGTCGGCAAGGCGAAAATATTTATTGTCAGCTCGAGGGAGCAGGAGCTGGATACTCGAATGGATGCCAGCCGAGCCGAGACTCGTTCAAATTGTTCCCTGGCGGCGATTGATGCCGCTGATGGAGGATGGATGGGTGGATGGGTGGATGCAAGAGAGGGAAAGGAGCCTTAGGTCTGTCAGCATCGGGAAATCGAGAATTATTAACAGCCGAGAGCCAACTATTGCGCTGATGGGCCCATAAATACGGCCATGTCCTTGCTCACTCGCTCGCAAATTTCTGGGCGCTGACATGCATTAATATTGATTGTTGATGTCGCTGAACCGCACTAATCAGAGCCACATGTCGGTGCTCGTGTTCTCGTGTTCTCCCCCTGTCCCATGTCCTTTGCACACTGACATTGACACGGCCAGGACGTATTCCACAGCTCCACAGTTCCACAATTATTCGCATCCTTGTCCTCGGCATCATCATCACTATCCTCCATTGTCGTGTGTTGTCGGCACAATGAAATTACATGTTACATATCTCATTTACATTGCTGTCGTGTAGTTCTTCTCTTGATTCACTGCCTGAGTTTTTCATGCGCTTCTGGGCGGGCGGAAAAGTATGCATTGTCCCACCTTGTTAAATGAGGGAGAGCCCGCCTTTTTACAAATTATATTTTCATCATTTCCAGTGCAAAAAAGTGACTTCAATTATGATAAAATGAGTTAAAGAAAATTGTAAAATTAAAAAATATATTTTGTGCAATAAAAAATTTATCAAAAAATGCAAAATTAAACTATTGTACTTATTACTATATGTAGAAGGCATTATTTACTAATATTAACTATGCTGCTAGCATAAAACTTTTTGTTTGATAAAGTTTATCTACCAATGTTGGAAACAAATTAGAACTATTTGTTCCTCTTCTGAGTAAACTTGAATTATTGATTATGCTGACTGCACAACCCTTTATCTATTTAAACTTTCACAATTTCGCAGAGAATAATTTTAATTAAAATTTCACGGTTTATTAGGACTTGGCGGAACTAATTGGTAACTTCTGCGAGCCAGTTAGTGACTTTGGCTGTCAATTTGGGTATGCAAGATGGACCCCAAAAGGACAAAGGCTGCGAGTCAGCCATGCCATTGAATACTTTCTGTTTTGACATTCATTTGGCAAAGTCGACAGAAAGCGCTTCCAATTTGCCGAGGCATCGCGCAACTGGGGAGCTTGTGAACTTGGAGAAGTTTTAATGAGTTGGCAAATGGAATTGGCAATCCGTAGTGGATGCTCGTCGACACTTGAAGTATGAAATCAAACTAATTAACTCAAAATTTAACATAAACGCCGACTGAGCAAAGTTTACCCATTGGGCGCTCAAGTTGGCTTTTTCATGTGATTTTCCGCTCTCTGCACATGATGGCACTGCAATTGTACACAAGTTGGCTAAAACCATCCAACCGATGGCCTTCTACCTCCATTATGAGGTTAATCCGGCATCAGCACCTCCGCGTTGAATGATAATTCAGTTTTCCCGCCATGATGAACAAATTAAAAACTTTTCCTTTTCATCCACGATCCCAGCAAATGCTCTACAAATTATTCCCCCAACGTCAAAGTTGTAACTTTTTTTTTTGCCCTGCGATTTTTAATGTTTCCACCAATTTTGTTTTGAATTTTTCAAGCTTTTCTCTGTTTCCTGTCAGTT